AGAGGAAAGGAGGTACCTTGCCCACCTTTGCGAGCTCTGCTCTCCCATCTCTTGTGACAGGCTCAGTTTGAGATGCCTTATGTGGTTCGGCTGCACAACTTCCACCAGCTCTCTGCGCCCCAGCCCTGTTTCACCTTCAGCCACCCCAACAAAGGTGGGTTTCTGTATGGCTGGTCTCTGTCTGAAGGGGCGAGAACTTGCTCTCCCAGTCCCTGGCCGTCTGGGGTCTACCCTGCCTGGGCTTCCCTTCCTGGTTCTTGCTCATACTTCCTCAAGTTGTCTGGTGCTTCTGGGCCCTTGTCACCCCTACTACCTTCCCTGACAGACCCTGTGATCGATAACAATCGCTACTGTACCTTGGAGTTTCCTGTGGAGGTGAATACAGTACTGCATGGCTTTGCCGGCTACTTTGAAACTGTGCTATACCAAGACATCACTCTAAGTAAGTGTCCGGGGTGCTACCTGGGCAACCGGGTGACTTTGCTACCTGGGCAGCTTACCGCTCTGTTCTCCTAGAGTCCTAGGAGCCTAGGAGTCAGAGAACGTGGGGTTTTTGGAGTACATGTTTCTACGTTCACGGGAGAGACTCCTTAGCTAGAACTAAGGATTCTAGAACCATTGTGGTATAGGACCTCAGCTTTTTTCTTTCCTTTGACTCCACAGGCATCCGTCCAGAGACTCACTCTCCTGGGATGTTCTCATGGTTTCCCATCCTCTTCCCCATTAAGGTAGGAACTACCTTAAAGACTCTCAGTAGGTTGAGGGAGTAACTTGGGCCGTTAGTGTTCTGCTACTTCCTTCTCCTGGGATGATTCTTCGCTATACCCTGTGTTCTGTTGCACTCGAGTCCGTGTGGATAGATTCTTGTGGATCTTGGGATATTTGCTGTATGCTTTAACCTTCTCCTCGACTTCATCTGATCTGCATCTTCTCTCTACTCTCTACCTGATGCAAGACTCAGCTTTGAAAAACTCAAATCTGTTCATCTCCCTCTCCTTAAAGTCCTTCAATGCTGAGCTTGCGGAGATGGCGCAAAACTGACACATGTGCATTACACACATAAGTCCTAGATTTGATCCAAAGGGTTGCGTGGTCCCCAGAGCATCTCTTGGAATAGCCCTTAAGCACTGCTGGGTTTTACACCAGACCCACAAATCAAGCAAACACCTTCAGTACCTTATCACTACTCTGACAATAGAGGGTAAAATCCCAACTATTGCTCTGGAGGGTTAGAGGGTTAGTACAGGGATAAGGTGCTTGCCTTCCACATGGTCATCTTTGGTTCAATTCTTCATACCCTTTACAGTCTCCTGAGCACTGCCACTTGTGACCCAAACCAAAAAAGAATCCAGCCTATTGCTTAAACAATTTGGTATGATCTAATTTTAGCTCTTTTCACCTCCTGTCCTGCTGTTTACATTGCTAAAGCTTATGGACCCTCTTTTTTTTTGGGGGGGGGGGTCACACCTGGCGATGCACAGGGCTTACTCCTGGCTCTGCATTCAGGAATTACCCCTGGCGGTGCTCAGGGGACCAATTGGGATGCTGGGAATTGAACCCAGGCCAGCTGCGTGCAAGGCAAATGCCCTACCCGCTGTGCTATCATTCCGGCCCCTGGACCCTCTTTTTTTTATTTTAGGGCCACACACAGCAATGCTTAGGGGTTACTCCTGGTTCTGCACTCAGGAATTACTCCTGGTCACTTGATCACTTGGCTTCCTGTTAATCATAGATTTGCTCGAGCGGGCACCAGTAACGTCTCCATTTGTCCCTACCGCATGCTAGTTTTAGCCCAATGGCATCTGTTCATTCTAGGAACACGAAGAGACTCAAACTGATTGTTCAGGGTATTGCAACCATATGGAGTGCCAGGATTCAAACCTGGGTTGGCTGCATGCAAGGCAAATGTTTTACTCTGCTATACTATTGCTCTGGCTCCTGGACCCTCTTGATAACTCATGTAGCACTGTAGCACTGTCCTCCCGTTGTTCATCAATTTGCTCCAGCAGGCACCAGGAACATCTCCATTGTGAGATTTGTTGTTACTGTTTTTGGCATATTGAATATGCCACAGGGAGCTTGCCAGGCTCTGCTGTGCGGGCGGGATACTCTTGGTAGCTTGCCGGGCTCTCCGAGAGGGATGGAGGAATTGAACCTGGGTCGGCCATGTGCAAAGCAAACGCCCTACCCACTGTGCTTTCACTCCAGCCCTTGATAACTTTGGTGCTGGACACTGAGCATAAAGCCAGGTATAGTCCTTGGGGACAGCTGGGTGTGGCCCCCAAACCCAAAAAGTAAAAACTGTAAAGTCGTAACTTCTTTCACACCCTTTTTATTTGCCTGGAAAGGTCTTTGCTCATTTCTTCACCTAGCTAACTTATCTATCATCAGGTCTCCTTAAACTGCTGTTGAGACTGAGGCCCTGAGAATTTAGCAGGCCTAAGAATGAGAGAGGAAATTGGAAATTCTGGGCTAGGATGTAAAGCAGGTTTGCACTCTTGCTTAAGAAAGATGCTCTAGTGAGGAACGGAGACCACCGGGAACCCCCTGAGGGGACCCGGAACTTGCTCCGTGCCCCCCAAACACTCAGCACTACTGTCTTTCTCAGTGTGTCACTGTGGAAGTCTACCTCAGGGTGCTTTTACATTTTGTTTCATTTTTGGATCATACCTGTGTACTGGGGGGACCATAAAGGTGCTGGGATTAAACCGAACCTGGGGGGCCGGAGAGATAGTACAGTGGATAGGGCGTTTGCCTTGCAAACCTGGGTGGACAACCCAGGAGTGATCCATGATCACTGTGGCCCAGCACTCCGCCCCCCCAAAAAAATAGTTGAACCTGGGCCTGTAAAGCATGTACTTTAGCCCATTGAGCCTTTGTCTGGCCCTTAAAGAGCTTATAAAAAGGATTATTTTGTAAACAGGATTATTTTGTCACATATAATTCATTAGCCCTACCCTGTGTGTTTCTTCTACAGCAGCCGATAACTGTGCGGGAGGGTCAGACCATCTGTGTACGTTTCTGGCGATGCAGCAACTCCAAGAAGGTGTGGTATGAGTGGGCTGTGACAGCACCAGTCTGTTCTGCTATTCACAACCCCACAGGCCGCTCGTATACCATCGGCCTCTAGCCTGCAAATGTCTCAAGCCTTGGTAGCAGCTTCAGGTTCTGCTCCTATAACACAGAAGGTGCAGTACATCTGTGGTCTGTGGTTCCCCTTTCACATCAGAGAGGAGCTTTTCTGCCTTACATCAAGGTGGGCAAAGGATGAGAATTACTTTCAAGGTCGAGGCACCAATCTGTGAAGACATCAGGCCGGGGCATGAGGAATTAGTGCTGCATCTGAAGCTACTCGACAGGCATTCAGCACTCCCTGGAATAGCCCTGAAAACATGTGGATTGAACATAATTTTTCCCTTTCCCTGCCCGTCTCTGTTCTGTTTTGAAGGTTTTATGCGGAAGGAAATACAAATAAAGTGAGGTTGATCTGACCTTCCCTACTGTCCCGCCTCTGCTTTCCCATACCTTATTTAAATTTAGATATATTAAGACTTGTGCCATAGTCAAGACCCAAAGGAACCTAATCTTTGTAGGCAGCTTAGTGATAAATCTGGAACTCTGGGTGCTGTCTAGTTAGAGAGGCCTTGTCCATTGATATCTGTTATCTGGGAGGAAGCATCTGTTTGTAGTCATGGGGAAAAGTGGCTTAGTAGGTAAAGCCAGCTTGCCAGCTTCTTTGTTACCATTTGGGAGAGAAACTGGAAGCCACACAGGTATCTCCAACAGGAAGCCATTGATTTGATTTATTTTTTGCCACACCCATTGATTCTTAGTGCTTACTCCTGGCTCTGTACTCAGGAGACCCTAAAGGCTGCTGGGGATGGGGATACAACCAAGGTCAGGCTCAGGCAAGGCAAATGCCTTACTCGCTGTATGGTCTCTCCAGCAGTCCACCTATTTGAATTCAATAAAATAACAGGACTAGAGTTGGAAGTTTCAATACAAATCTTTTGGGTCTGTAACGGCAGTACAACGGGTGGGGCATGCAGCTGACCAGGGTTCGATCCCTGGAACTTCATAGGATCCTGAGCGCAGAGCCAGGAGTAAGTCCGGAGCACCGCCGGGTGTGGCCCCAAAAACCAAACAAAAATTAATACGTTATTTAGTTAATCTCTCACTATAACGAAGGAATTTGAAATTAGAGCAATGACAAAATTGGTAATCAGCCAATGACTGCAACACAAGTCCTGACTTCAGCTCTCTTCTTATCAACTATATTTGGGGCAACTGTATTAGGCTGCTGAAATCTCTGGCTTCTGGAAGCCCATGGAACGATGCAGTGGACACCCAGTGCTTTTCTGGTTAAAAGCCTCAGAGTGTCACTGCACCCAAAATGTCATTTGAAAAACTCAATCTTTGCAGGGGGAGGAATATGGGGCACTGATTCAAACTAAAGATGTCAAACCGTCAGACCAGTCAGTGGTGGGTGAGAGAAAACATCTAGAGATGTGACTTGGGTTTTCCAGGTGCCAAGCTCTGGAGAGGGTGGAAGGAGGAGGTTGATTGGGTCGCGCAGAAGAGGCCCCTGGAACCCAGCTCCCCCACTGGAAGCAAACACTGGCTCTCTACAACGTCCCGAGGCCGACCCGACGTGATTCCCTAGGCAAACGAAGGAAGAAAGCTGGGACGGCCTTGTTGGCTCCGCCTACGGGCTCGGCCTGGCCAACCGAAGCGCCGAGCGGAGTGGGAAGGTCCCGCCCTCTCATTCTCGGCCCGGTTCCCCCGCCTTCCGCAATTCACTTAACCAATGAGAGAGACGCGCGCCCCTCACTGGCCTTTCCATTCTTCCGGAGTCTCGGAGACGCTAGCCAATCAATGGGAAGTTGGCAGTTGCTAAGAGACCTTTGCGCCTGGCTCCGCCCATGCTTGGTATGTTAACCAATGAAACTCGGCACTTCGCACTGTTGCCGCGAAACCTGGGAGCTGGGTTCCAGCGCCTGAATGTTTCGGCGCCTGCGCAGATTGGGGAAAGTTCTGGAAGACAGCACAGCTGCCGCCATTTTGCGCGGACCGGAGTAGCTCCGTTTACGGTGTCGCTTTTACTGCGGAGACTCTGGAGAAGAGCCGTACGTCGCGCCCCCCCAATACACGCAAAGGAACGGAGACCACCGGGATCCCCCTGAGGGGACCCGGAACTGGTGAGCAACCCCGAAACCCGGTCCCCCGCGACGTCACCACTGCGTGACGTGACCGCTCGGCGCCTCCCCCTGACGTCACCGGTGGATCTGGCGTCAAGAGCCGCCTCAAGCAAACTTTGAAAATTAAAAGAAATTTTTGTTTCCTTTGGTTCGAAAGTGACCGCCCAGTTTACGGGGTTGGCGCCCTCGTGGCGCGTCCTTTCCCCGTGGAGACCCTTGTGTCCCGCTTCCCAGGACCGAGCTCGGTCCAGCCGCCACGCTGGAGGGAGCCCTCACTTGGGGCACGGGGAGGGCGTGGGATGGGGGGGTCCCAGCCTCTCGCCGGCCTCCGGGGCACATAGGGTGGGTTTTCAGCCCCCCGCCCTAGCCGCTGCTCAGAGAGAGATGTGGGATGGAGGTGGGCGCCGGGAGACCCGTGTTCACCGATTTGACTTCCGGGTTTCCTGCACCACCTTTGGCCCCGGAGACGCCGGGAGCACCGGGGCTGAGTTGCAGCCCGGGGCCCGATCCCCGGCCCCGCTCTGGAAGCGCCCGTGCAGGGCTCAGAGTGGCGCTTCTCCCCGGGACCGCGTTTGTCTGGCGACGGCGGGGAACTCACACACGCCTGGCCCGGGGCTCCCGCGTCTGGTCACCGCGAGGGGGTGGGGCGGGGTGGGAGGCACGGCCGCGGCGCCCCTCGCTCCCTTTGCCCACCCTCCTCCCCGCAGTGTTCTCGGACCCGGTGGGGCGCGGGGCGCGGGCGCTGCTAAGTTGTGCGCCCCAGTGGCTCTGTTCGGCTGCAGCTGGGAGTGCCCTTGCACCTAGACCGAAGGGCCACCTGCCCCCAGTTGGGACTGGGAGAGTTCGAAAGCGGCCAAGTTGAAAACCATTAAGAATTGCCAAGAAGAGCTGGGTGATTCCTGTTCCCTATTGTCTGCCAAAGTCGACTCACTTCAGTTTTCAGGTGTCTTTGCTTCAAGAGGAAAAGGCATCTTAGTAAAGAGAGTTTTTAGGGGTACAGAGATAGAGATAGTACAGCCGGTAGGGCTCTTGCATCGCCCATAACAAAAACCACCTTTGTATTCCTAGAACCTAATTTCCCCGGTTATTTACGTCCGCTAACTTATGTTAAATATAGATTGCAATTAGTGCAGTTTCTGAAATTATTATTTTTTTGAACACACCCGTTGGTGCCCAGGGCTCACTCTTGACTCAGTGCTCAGGGATCACACCTGGCAGGGTTCAGGGACTATATTTGGTGCCAGGGATTGTGTAAACTCACACAAGGGGGGCTCTATCTCTCCCGCCGCCCGCGTTCGGTAGTCTCACCCTTCTCCCACCCCGGAGAGGTTGATGGCGATGGTCAGGTGGAGGAAGGAATGAGGGCCAGGCTGGTTGGCATTAGTCGTAGTTTATTCTGATTCTCTCCTCATCTGTCTCTGCTCCCTCTCTCCTTCTCTCTCTCTGCTCCCGTCTCTCTCTGTTTCTCCTGTCTCTCCTTCTGTCTCTGCCCCTTCATCCTCCTTTTCTGGAGTTTGGGTTCTGATCTCTCTCCAAGAGAATGGGGGAAACAATTACATATAGGTGTGGTCACAGTCAATAGGGGTGGAGATCAACAGAGGTAGAAATCTTGGCCTCAGGGAAGACCGCTCCTAGGACAGATCCTTCCTCAGCAGGAGGACCCACCCTAGAGCATAATCCCATGGGCGTGCCTCTCCTCTCCTTGTCCAACAAGCATATAAGAATATAATATAAATCATTTTGTATGGATACAGTAAGAAATATCTTAAACTTATAGAATTGCTCTCCTAGGGCCATCTCGATCTCAGACTACAGTGCTCAGGCCAGATAGTCTTTCCTACCCCTAGCAGGATCCTAGTCTCGTCGTTACCTTTGGATCATGACAGCATTTGTCTATGATCAAAGTCTTAACTTATAGTTAAGAATCGTGGCACTTTGGCCTGGCCCATTTCGCTGCCAGGGTAGATCACCGCTTGCCCTGGGTCCATTCAGTCCCTCGTCGGGACCCTGCTTTTGGGGTGTTAGGAACTAAGGGCAACTGAGGCTTAAGTCGAGAAAGAAGATGCCCGGGAGTGAATAATATTCAAGGCCAATCAAATCCTAAATTACAAAGCATAATGTTAATGGTCTTCCTGTATCTATACAAAAAGGATATTACTTTAAGGTAAACTGTTCATAAGGCATAAGGAGAGGAGAAAGGCAATATTTCACTCATACATATAAAATCATAGATTTCTGGGAAACTGATCTTACAAATTAACAAAGTCTGATTAAGGGGAAAGCTGATTAACTGGGTGGGAAGGAGAGCATAGGGAAGACTGCTTACAGATAAACACAATGGAAGTGGAAGTGCTTCAGGAGCACTGTGATGGGTGTAACCAGATTGATGGGTGTAACCAGATAAACCTAAGCTCCTTGTAGAAGGACAAAGCAGTGTTACCCAACAGGGATGAAACCAGGGTTCTCCACGTGCAAGGCAAGTACCCTACCCGCTGTACTATCTCTCCAGCCCCCAGATTTCTGAACTCTGAAGTGTACAGTGTACATCCCTTACATCTGGGAGCTGCATAATAGTTCATTTGATAAACTTTATCTTTGTATTAATCTCTGGATGGATGTATACTTAGACATTGCAGCTGGAGAGATAGTATAGGAAGTAAGGCACGCTCCTTGAGTTCTGCAGACCCTGGTTAAATCTCAGGTAGTATGTATAACCCTCCACATCTTCAGGAGTGACATCTGAACATGTTTCCAGGAGTATTTATGAGCACTGCTGGGTGTGTGGCCTCCATCTTACCATCATCAAAGACATCTCGGCTTTCTGGGTGCTTTACTAAATTTTCTTTGTGATTAAGCTATGAACTACATGAGAGCTATAACCTGATAAAGTCAGACTTAAGAATCAGAAGACCTAAGAGCATCAGGCTTGAGAATCAGAAGACCTCTGCTTTTCCATTAGAACTTTTTTGTTTGTTTGGGGGCCACTCCAGGGGGTGCTCAGGGATCACTCCTGGCTCTGTGCTCAGGTACCACTCCTGGCAGAGCTTGGAGTACCATCTGTGGTGCCTGGAATGAAACCTGGGTTGTTGTGTGCAAGGCACAAAGGCTATACTATGACTTTGTCTCCCATCAGAACTTTTCTTTTTTTCCCTGCTTTTTGGGTCACAGTAGGTGGTACTTAGGACTTTCTCCTGGGTCTACACTCAGGAATCACCCCCCACGGTATGATGGGGATCATATCGGATGCTGGAGACTATCTAGGTGAGCTCTGTGAAGGACAAGCGCCTTAAACCTACTGGAGGATCGCTCCATTCCCCTCTAGGCAGTTCATTAAGTCTCAGTTCTTTCATTTGTGCTGTCATTGTCACTGTCCTCCTGTTGTTCATCGAGTTTTGCTTGAGCAGGCCCAGTAACATCTACATTGTGACACTAGTTACTGTGTTTGGCATATCGAATACATTACGGGTAGCTTGCCAGGCTTTGCCGTGTGGGAGAGATACTCTCAGTAGCTTGCCAGGCTCTTCAAGAGGGGTGGAGGAATCAAACCTGGGTTGGCCGCATGCAAGGCAAATGCCCTACCAGCTGTGCTATCCCTCATTTGTGCATTGGATTAAAAATCACCCTATAGCATACAGCATATAGCTACCTTGCATTGCTAGTTAAAATGCAAAGTGTGAAGAAACCAAATTCAGGGCTGGAGCGATAGTATAGAGGGTCAGGCCTTTGCCTTGCATGTGGCCGATCCTGGTTCGAGTCCCAGCATCCCATATGGTCCCCTGAGCACTGCCAGGAGTAACCCTTGTACATCGCTGGTTATGACCCAAAAAGAAAAAAAAAAAAAAAGAAGCAACCAAATTCATTGGTTTTGTGGTTTTGATACAGCTTTGTATTTTTTGTTTTGTTTTGGTACACATCCGGTGCTAGATTATTCCTTGCTCTGGGATCAGAAATTAACTACTGGCAGTTCTTGGAGATATGAGACAGTAGGGAACAAGCCCTGGTTGGTCACATGCATGGCAAGCACCAGACTCACATACTATTTCTTCAGCCCATGATTTTAACTCTTAAATTTGACTCTAAGTGATTTGTGGGGGGTGTGGGGGGGTGGGGAACTGTATCCTGCTGGCTCTGGACCATGCAGTGCTCTGGGTCAAAGGCAGGCCTCATGCATGCAAAGCATTTTCTCAACCTTCAAGTAATTTTTCTTGTTTATTGATTTTTCAAAGAATCCTATGTCAGTAATATGCTTAGCATAGTGTCTCATAGCAGTAGATGCTACAAATAGTACTTGTAAATATTATTCTTTTTTTTAAATTATCAAACATTCTATGGTTTGGAAGACAAATGGCAGTAATGGATCATACCGTAACTGCTTTAAGGAGGACAGAGATCTCATTGGCGTCAAAAGTTCGATATGATGAGCCTTCTCCCAGAAATCCTTTCAGTTGCTTGTACTTCCCCTCTTCTAATTCTTCCTCTTCACACCATCTCACATACTCCTTTCTCTACACAAATACTCGTCAGCTTTCTATCATTCTGGATTAGATAACATTTTTTTAGGATTCTATATAAAGAATCATAAAGTATGTATTCCTGTTTTTTTTTGAGGGGGGTGTTTGCTGGTGGTGGTTTCAGGTGTCTTTTTCACTCAGCGTAATTATTTTGAGATTCATCCATGTTGGATATATTGATAATGTTTCAAATCAGTAATTTTTTAAATTATTTATGTCATTGATTTGTTTGGTTTCTTCTTTATAAGGGAAGTGTTTTAGCCAGACTTGGGAAAGAACAGTTGCCAGATGTAAGAACACTGGGAGGTGAGAAGTCTTACTGCTTGCTTGAACAGAAAGCCCTCAGAGAGGGGTTGGTTAAGCCTGACTATTTTGTTGTTTGGGGGCCACACCTAATTGTACAGAGGGAAGGGTGGGAGCTACTCCTGGCTTCGTACTCCAGGGTGACTCCCAGCAGTGTTCAGGCCTTCTGCATAAGTTATCTCCAGCTCTAAGCCTTTTCAAAGTATATTCTTTCTGAGTTACATAAAGTGTTAAGTGATTTTTCAGTTTTTCCATTCTGGGGTCTCACATGGTGGTGCTTGGAGTTGCATCTGGTGATGCCAGGGATTGAATGTGGGGCTCCTGTCTACAAAGCATTTGCTCTAGTCCTTTGAGCTATTTTCCTAGCCCCAAGTTTCCCACCATTTTATACCTGAGAACCTGCACCAATCCTTGGATTGGTGGTTGAAGACCAGTACTTTAGTTGATCGTATAAGAGGCTTAATGAGGAATTCCCTAATTACTGGGATTTGGATTGGAAACATTGGTTCTTCCCAGCATTGTAGATCTGCATTATTCAGATGCTGCTTTGTCTTCTGTTTTCAGCCAGCAGCTTGTTCTATTAAAAGAATGTGTGCCTTTATCTCCAGATCTCTACCCCTGGCATTACTGGACCCTAGAAACATTGTATCACTGGACCATATGCCACACTGCCAGGCTACTGTTGCAGGAGTGGCCCCTAAGCACCACTGGGGAGACCCAAAAATAAATAAGAATGTCTAGTTCAGTTATATAATAGTGGTTTCCTGAAAGTCATTTTCAAGTAATCCTAATTTTGAGACCCAATCTTTTCTCTCTCCCTCTCATTCTGCCTCTCCCCCTTCTCTTCCCCTTCCCCCTCTCATTCTCCCTCTCCCTCCCCTTTTCTCTCCCTTTCCTTCACATGTTCTAGCAAGCCTTTTAGATATAGCTAGTGGTGCTGTGGGTTACTTCTGGTGCAGTTCTCAAGGATCATTCCCAATGGTACTGGGTGATCCATTGCGGTAGGGATTGAATTAGGGGCTTTCTCCATGCAAAGCGTATGTGCCCACCCTTTGTCATTTCTCTGATGACCTGATTTTCTTTTGTTTTTGGGCCATATCTGGTGTGTTCAGGGGACCATAAGGGATGCGAGGAATCAAACTGGAATTGGCCATATACAAGATAAGCGCCTTACCTGCTGTAGTTTCTCCAGCTCCGTGTTTTTCTTTTTTATAGGACAGGGACTGAATTTTGTTTTGTCTTTACCTATCTAGGAACTCACTTTCCTTCTGGGTCCTTAATCTTTGCTAAGCTACAGAGAAGAACTAGTTTAGATTTGTAAATTGCAAATAGAAATCAAACCTTAATAATTGGTAAGGTCCCTTGTGAATCTTGAAGTCTGTTTCTTAGAGATGGAAGGGAATGTGGGATGTCAGAAGAATTTTTTTTTTCTTTTTGGGTCACACCCAGCAATGCTCAGGGGTTACTCCCAGCGGTGCTTAGGGAACCATATGGGATACAGGGAATTGAACCTGGGTCAGCCACGTGCAAGGCAAACACCCTCCCCACTGTGCTATTGCTCTAGCCTCACAGAAGGATTCTTAATGTGTTTTCCTCTCCTCAGATTTGTCACAATGGCATCTGACGACTTCGATATAGTGATTGAGGCCATGTTGGAGGCTCCCTATAAAAAGGAAGAGGTAACATTCACCATCTTACTCCTGGAATTGATTTAGTGAGCAAAAGCAGTTGTGGATCATCAGTTTCAACATATCTAGTTCTATTTAAGCTACATGCAGCAGTGCTCAGAGTTTAATCCTGTTTCTGAGCTCTGGGATCACTCCTGGCAGGGCTTGAGGATCATATGTCGTACCAGAGATTAGACCTTTGTCAGCTGCATGAAAGGCTAGAACCTGTACTGTTTTCTCTGGCCCTCACCTTATTTTTTAATTTTTAATTTTTTTTTTTTTTTGCTTGTTGGGTCACACCCAGCGATGCTCAGGAGTTATTCCTGGCTCTCCACTCAAGAATTACTCCTGGTGGTACTCGGGGGACCATTTGGATGCTGGTGATCGAATCCGGGTCAGCCGAATGCAAGGCAAACACCCTACCCACTGTACTGTGTCTCCGGCCTCCCAACATTTTTTAAATCCTCTTTTCCTGCTGTGTATTTTTTTTAATATATTAAAAAAGGCATGCATATTCTTTTAGTAAGTTTTGCTAGAGGCTTGTGCTAATAAGGACATTACTTTTAGAGGGAGTGGGGTACGGGTGAGTGGGCATATAATGTGGTGGTGGGAGGGAATAAATGCCTTACTCATAGCTCTCAGTTACACTGTACATAGTCAGTGTGCTTCAGACCTAATTCTAGTCTCATTCTCCTGTGTAAAAATGTCAGTGGAACTTAAAGTTCTGGTAGCTAAAGGTTGTATATTTTTGTTTTAAATAAATTAGTTTTTATTGAAAGAATTTACCTTTAGAAGTGTGAGGGGAGAGATGCATACTTAAGAGAACATGGACTACTTCAAAGGGAAAACCTCTAATAGCTGAAGTTCAAGCATTAAAATATGTTTCTTTGATTTCTTGTCTTTAGGTAGTTTCCTCCTTTTTTCTATTCCCTTTGTTAGGGGCTCAGAAATAGGCTAGATAGTTGAGTTTTTATCCCATGAGCTTTCTTCCTTTCCACTATTCGTTCTTTACCCGATTTTCTTGTTGATCCCTTCAGGATGAGCAGCAAAGGAAAGAGATGAAAAAGGAGGGTGCTAGCAACACCACCAGCAGCACAGGCAGCACCAGCAGCACCAGCAATGGAGGTTGTGGTACCAGTGGAAGCAGTACCAGTGGGGAAGCAAGCAAGTGAGTATGGCACAAAGACTGGCTTGGCAACTTGGGCAAGGCCAACACCTGTGTCTGTTGGAGAAGCAGCCAGAACAGTTGGGGCTGTTTGTATTCATGGGACTGCTGACTTTTCAGTAATGGCTCCTCTGCATCATGGGAATGAAGGGGACCTAGTAATGATTGTTTAGCCTTCCACTGTAGATGTGTGGATCAGTCCTCTCATCATTATATTTTAGTTGAATAAAATAGTGGTCCCCTGACTTGGGAACACCAGCTGTTTCTGGGGGCATGGTGGATGTTCACTTTAAATGCCTGACAGCATTCAGAACTATGTGTAAGGAGTTGTGTAATGCTGTGAACTACTGCCAAATGATCTTCTAGGTTTTGTTTATTATGGCTTTCTGTTTCACCCTGGCCTTATTATCTTCCTATTCCTTGTGAAATCTTCTCAGTAATAAAAATTTGAACTCTTTCACAGGAAAAAAAGGAGTCGGAGCCATAGTAAAAGCAAGGACAGAAAGCGCAGGTCAGTAATACTGGGAACTCTTTTACTTGGAGAATCATAATAAATGGAAAGATACCAAGGAAAGCTGAACATTGAGGCAGAGGTATATTTATTCTCCAATAGACTAATACTCGTTTCCCCCTCTAGCCGTAGCCGAGACCGAGACCGGCATCGGCGGAGAAATAGTCGGAGCCGGAGTAGAGATCGGCAGCGGCGTTACCGTAGCAGGAGCCGGGACCGGCGACACAGGAGTGAGTCGCGAAGCCGGGATCGTCGACGTGAAGATCGTGTGCGCTATAGGAGTCCACCACTTGTGCCTGGGTATTATTTTCGTTGATTTTGGGGCCACATCTGGTAGTGCTCTGGGCACCATGTGATGCTGGGACTCAAACCAGGATCTCTCATGCTTGATCCATCTTCCTGGCTCAAGTTAGCTCAAAAAAAATAAGTACATTAAATATCTTGCCTCTGAAGGTAGTTATAACCAGTTGTGATATGCCAGAGACCCCAGCTCCTGGAGGGGTGGTGTTTAGAATTCAGATGTTGGAAACAGGCAATTGGCTGTCTTGTATGACCCTGGTTTCGATTTTCAGCACCTTCCTGGAATAATAATAATTTAAAAAAAAAACAAAACTTTACATGCCCCAGTTATTTCTGGGAGTGGCTCCAGTCTCCACGACAATTTTTTCTTTTAAATTTGCATGTATGATGAGATTCTGGAATGTTTTTCTTCTGAGAGAAGACCCAGTATTGGACCAGTGTGAATAAAATTGGGTGACATAATTTTTCATTTTTTCTGTTCTATAGGCGTAGGTTTGGGCTCAGTAAGAGTCCTCATTTCCGAGAGAAAAGTCCTGTCAGGTGAGTTGATAATCGTTATTTTTTGGGGGGAGGAAAATTTAAAGTATGAGTTGATGCCAGTATTGAGGGTAGTTGCTGCAGAAAATTGATCAAGTATTGGATCATGAGATCTCAACAGATTTAACTCTTTTAGGGAGCCAGTTGATAATCTTAGTCCTGAGGAACGTGATGCCCGCACAGTCTTCTGTATGCAGTTAGCTGCCCGCATTCGCCCTCGGGATCTAGAGGACTTTTTCTCTGCTGTTGGCAAGGTAAATCTCCCTGCCTGGGGACCTCTACCCCTTTTTTTTTTGTTTCTGACAATTCTGTTTTTTTGTTTGTTTTGGTTTTTTGGGTTACACCCAACAATGCTCAGGAGTTACTCCTGGCTCTGCACTTAGGAATTACTCCTGCTAGTGCCTCATGGGGGGGGGACGGACCATATGGGATGCCAGGGATCGAACCCAGCTGGACCGCGTGCAAGGCAAATGCCCTAGTGATAGTGTACTATCGCTCCAGCCCTGTATCCTATTTTCTATCCATCCCCCTTTAGTACTAACTTGGGGTTTTCTTTTTGCCCTGAATAGGTTCGTGATGTACGTATCATCTCTGATCGGAACTCACGTCGCTCGAAGGGTATAGCCTATGTGGAATTCTGTGAAATTCAGTCTGTGCCCCTGGCCATTGGACTGACTGGGCAGCGGCTTTTAGGAGTCCCAATCATTGTACAGGCCTCACAGGTGAGCAAGTTAAGTTGACTGAAAAAAAGGGGTGAAGGGTAGGAGGCATAAGGACATGATGCATCATTTCCTGCTTTTCAGGCTGAGAAGAACCGGCTGGCAGCTATGGCCAACAACCTGCAGAAGGGTAGTGGCGGACCAACGCGCCTCTGTGTGGGCTCTCTGCACTTTAACATCACAGAGGACATGCTCCGGGGCATCTTTGAGCCCTTTGGAAAAGTGAGTAGAAAATAGAAAAATTGCCAAAGGAATTGGAAAAACTGGGCAGCCTGAGTCTGTTAGGCTGTAGCAGGTATAGGGTCCAAGCTGTGCATATATGTCTCCCATCGCTACATCTCTTTTGCTTAGTAGACAGTGGAATGAGACGAAGTGGAATCAAATACAATGTGTAAGTAACCATAGGGATTACATAAAGTCAGAAAATGGGGCCGGGGTGATAGTCCAGCAGGTAGATCACTTGCCTTAAATATGACTGATCTGAGTTCAGTCCCTGGCACCCCATATGTTCCCCAAGCACCACCAGTAGTGATTGCTGAGAGCAGAGCCAGGAATATGCCTGAGTACCGTCAGGTGTGGCCCAAAGCAAAATTCTTTTAAATGGTAATATTGACTAGAAATTTAGAGATGTTAAAAGCTAGGTAGGAAAAATCAAAGGTGTGGGTTTACGAGTACATTGTTTTTCTTTTTCCTACAGATTGATAACATTGTCCTGATGAAGGATTCAGATACAGGTCGCTCTAAAGGTTATGGTTTCATTACGGTGAGTGCCTATTCTACTTTGGGATTTTAGTTTGGAGGGCCAGAGAGATAGCACACTGGGTGGGGTGCTTGCCTTGTATTTGGCTGACCTGGATTCAATCCCTGGCATCCCATATGTTCCCCGAGCACCACCAAGAATGATTCTTGAGTCCAGAGTCAAGAAGCCCTGACCATAGACAAGTTTGACTGAAAACCAAAAACAAAACATTTTTTAAAGAAATTTTTTTTCTTTGGTTTTGTTCACTTATGCCTGTTGTGCTGCTATTGCCACCAGAGACCACACCAGAGACCACACCTAGTGGTGTCATTTGGTACCGGAGATTGAACCTACATGCTCACACATGCAAGACATATGCTCTGCCTCTTGAAGCACATACCCTGGCTCCGCTTGTGTGATTTTACATCTTAACTTCCTCCTTCCCTTTTTGGAACTGTCTAAATTACTATAAGTATTGGTACCTGAATTGGATAAGCCTCTGTTCCCTGAACTGATACTGCAGTACTTAAGATCATGCTTTTGCGAACATGAGAACTGCTATTCAGTAGGAAACATGTCACTTAGGGGCTGGGTCTGGGGGGAGGTGCAGCAGATAAGGTGCTTGCCTTGCAACCGACCCTGGTTCAGTCTTTGGCTCCCCATATGCCCCATCAAGAGTGATCCCTGAGCCATGATTTGTAGAATTCATATATTTTCATAATATAGATGGGAAAGGTGGTAATACTTCAGTCGAAACATTTTCTCTTTTTGAGAAATATATTTAAATATCACTGTTAAGGTCGAAGGTAGCCGGAAGGGCTAAGCATATGCTCCATATGCAAAAGACCTAAGTTTTGGTTCCCTGAGCACTGATGGAAATGACCTTTGAACACAGCCTAGTGTGGCCCAGCCACCAACCCCTCCCCCCCCCAAAAAAAAAGGTGACTGTTGGGAGGCCATCTAATAGCGACTGGTTTCACCTTTCTGTGACATGCTGGCAAAATTGTTTCCACCTCCCATGACTGGTTCTTCTAGCCCCGTGTGACTCCAGACTAAGGATTGGCTTCTAGCCACAGAACCTCGACAGGAGCTGATATTTCTGGGCTCAGCCTGCACCTTCACAATTGCCCGCAAGGCAGAGGAGAGATAGGTAATGTGGTACCACCGGAATTGTTCACCTTAGAAGCATCCATTAAAGACAGACCACTTCAATCACCTGCCTGGGAACTATCAGTACCATGTGCCAGGCCCTGGAGCAAGTAATACTCAGTAAACAAAGCCAGCTGTGCTGTTCCTGGTGACAGGTATCTTCTCAGCTCCCTGTGTGATTCAGATGCAGAAAGGCTTCTGTGGCACCTTTAGGTCAACACCCATGACCCATAAACAGCAGGCACTGAACACTCTTTATGCCAGGCTGCTGCTGGTGTTGCTGAGGAGGGGCTGGGGATAGGACTCACCAGTGAGGCCTGAGTTTGATTCTCGCTCTGTTTATGTTTTTTAGAAGTGGGGGTGTGTGGAGAGAGAGCTCAACAGACTGAGCACATGCAGGAGACCTAGGATTGATCCCTGGTCCTCTGAGCACAGAGCCTAGAGTTGCCCTGAGCACCAATGGGTGTGGGCCCCCCAAATAATCCAAAACAAGTGTGATAGAGAATAGAGGCTTCTGGTCACTAAGCATCTCTGGTACTGTGTGGGAATGGGGTGCACTCTTGTTCTCAAACCCAAATACGGTTCTTCTGAAGGATTGGTTCTGGGATTCTGGATTCCCGATTCTTTTTTTTTTTTTTTTTTTTGGTAGGGGGCCCACACCCATGCTGGGAGCCAAGTGGTCCCAGGGATTCAACAGAGTCCCCATGCATAGGATGCACTCTAGCCCTTTAGGCATTTCCCTGTCCTTAAGAATCCTAAATTGTGTTTTCTTAGTTTGGGGGCCTTCCCACTAGTATTCAGGGGCAACTCCCCCTGCTATTCTTGAGGCTTGTTCCAAGCAGTGCTTGGGGACCACTGGGTGCCATGAATTGAACCCAGGCCTCCAGCATGTAAAGCATAATTCAGACTGTTAAGCTTCTATATTTGGCCCTGATTCCTAAGTATTTGTTTGTTTGTTTTTAAGACACATCCTACTATGCTTGGGTTACTCCTGGCTCTGCACTCAGAAATTACTCCTGGCAATGCTTGGGGGACTATTTGGGATGCCGGGGATCAAACCTGGGTTGGCCGTGTGCAAGATAAGCACTCTACCCCCTGTACTATCACGAGATGTGCCCATACCCCACCCCTACCCCCACCCCACTTGATTCCTAAATTTTAAATGTGAACTAAAATTTACTAGCTATAAGAGTTTTGGAGCCAGGGTGCTAGTACAGAGGATCTGGGTTTGATTCCCAGTATCTCATATGGTCCCCTGCTCACCGCCAGGAGAGATTCCTCATTGTAGAGCGAGTAGTAACCCCTGAACATTGCCAGGTATGGCCCCCAAACCAACATACGTGAATAAAAGAGTTAAAGGAAAAGCCCAGGAGTCTTTATTTTCTGTCTGTCTCACTTCCATTTCGTGTGTCCATTTGTTAAACACTCTGTCAGGCTCGGCTCCATAAATAGACTATTGAGTGTATGCCCAGGAGACCCGGGGACGCCTTCCTCCCAGAGATTCTGGCCAGCTGGGCTGGCTGCTCAGTTAGAGGGCCTGAGCATGTGGTGCTAGCTAATGGGGCCCTTTGGTTCTGTGGACTACCTGGGCCACCCTCATGGCAGTCAGGGGCAGCTCAGGGCTCCGGCTGGCAGTGCTTAGGGGACCGTGTGGTGCTGGGATTGAATCAGGGTTGGCCACATGCATCTCAGCCCCTCTACTATCTTTCTAGTCCCTGATCGAATTTTGTTTGCATTGTTAGGTTCTTTGTGGAGTTGAAAGCTTAAAAACTGCCATTGAATCTGTTGGAAAATGCCCTTTTCTTAGAATCATTGAGGAACATGGGGATTATAGGTCGTATTACCTGGGAAAGAAATGCTTGAACTCCAGTGAGCATGCAGTTTAGAGTAAGAGAACTAGGGAGGTGGGCCGGACTTTGTCAGCATATCTGAGACATGAGGTCGGGAAGTGACTGATGTGGCCTGGGTTTCTTGTAGTTCGCTGATGCTGAGTGCGCCCGGCGGGCCCTGGAACAGTTGAATGGTTTTGAACTCGCTGGTCGACCAATGAAGGTTGGCCATGTGACTGAGCGATCGGACGGCAGCACAGACATCAGTTTCCCTGATGGAGACCAGGAGCTGGATCTGGGTTCAGCCAATGGACGTATGCAGCTCATGGCCAAACTGGCAGAAGGTAGAGATCCTCTGCAGAATAAAAGCACATGGGGTGGGAATTTAGATTAAGACTCGTGACTTTTGGCTGGGGCAGTAGTACAGCATGTAGGGCACTTGCCTTGCACGCGGCTGACTCGGATTTGATTGCCAGCATCCTGTACAATCTCCTGAAGCACTGCCAAGAGTGATCCCTGAGTGCAGAGTCAGGAGTACTTCCTGAGCACCAGCAGGCATGACTCAAAACCAAAACACTTCAGACTTAATTCCACCTTTTCTTTTCCTTTTAGGTTCTGGAATCCAGCTACCAACAACAGCAGTTGCTGCCGCCGCTGCCCAGGCCGCCGCTGCCCAGGCCGCTGCTGCCCAGGCTGCCGCCTTGCAACTGAATGGAGCAGTTCCCTTGGGGGCCTTGAACCCAGCAGCTCTCACTGGTAAACTTGGACTTGGGAAGGGGAGAAAAGAGTCATGTCAGGAAAAAATGAACTATGTGTGTCACTAACAAGCTGTTCTTCTTTGTTCCAGCTCTGAGTCCAGCTCTGAACCTCGCCTCCCAGGCCATTGCTTCCCAGTGCTTCCAGCTTTCCAGCCTTTTTACCTCCCAGACTATGTGAGTCTTAGGGACCAGCTGATTTGAGCCCATTGATTTTTCCCTTTTCTTTGGCTTTTCACTTATCTCTTCTCCTTGCTACAGGTAAATCAGTGGTGCAGTGCACTGCCTCCCTGTGTTTCCGGGCCCTGCCAGTTCTTTCTCCAAATCTGCCCTTCCAAGGCCCTTTCTCCATTTTGTGGACCAAGCCATTTGCAGGTGTGGACATCGACTCTGTGGGAAACGGGGCCATGTTTAGGCACCAAGAAGAACTCTTCCCTGTGACTTCACTGGAAGTGGACTCTGCTGAACAAAGGCACTAGTCAAAGAAAACAGAATCTATGCGGACATGGAATAGGCTCTCTCTCTGTGTCTGGCTTAATGGAAGAATTAATTCAACCTTCTCTGTTCTTCTCTACCTTTACCTGACAATCTGTCAAGGAGCAGCCTTTAAGACTTCTGGTCCAAAAGGACTTTGAAGTTTGAAGGGGGAACCTTGAAGGTGCTGGCTTGCTACTGCAAGGGCCCTGGAAGGTAGTGTGGACGTGTATTGTGACACTTGCCTTAGGCCTTAGCTTGGGGCCACAACTAACTGCTGTGGGCTCTCAGTACCTAGCTGGGAGGTGTGGAAATGAGCTGTCCTGCCAGGCATTTTTGGTGTTTCAGGGGCACTCAGGAGTTTAGCGAAAGGTGGAATACCTTTCCAATATTGCCCTTCTTCCTTTGTATAGTTGTTCCTTTGGTCCAAGAGGGAAGATGGAGGGGAAGCTACTACTCTTTCCACCACTTCCCATGTGCCTCTACCGTGGGTTCAGCCCTAGCTGTTTAAAGCTGTACCTGTCCCGTACCTGAGTACATGTGAGCCCTTCTCACTGGATTTTATACCCTTGTGACTGTGTACATAAGTATATATGAACTTTGTACAAAGGGCAGCCCTCCTGCCGTAGTGGCTGCTGTCCATATGTGTGTGGTCTCAGTCGGTTGGTGTGTCTGTCTGATGTCAACTTCTGAGCCAAAACCATGAATGATTCTAGGGATATAAAATATTTGTAATGCCATGTACTCTCTTTATTTCACTTTTGTTTTAGCTTGCCTTCTGTAGGAAGGAAAATGAACAAAGGTTCACACGGGTAGTGTTCCGTCTGTCTTCGTTATAATTAATGCTCTGAGTCCTATCATCTCCATTTTTTCTTCTTTCTGGGGGAGACCACACCTCACTCTGCTCAGGTGCCACGTCTGGGGGTGGCAGGAGATCATAGCAGTGCTGGAATTCAAATGGTTGCAGCCCAGGCAAGACAGGTGCCTTAACCTCTACTCAGTCTCTCTGAACCTAGTCTCCAACTCTTTTTATGCCCCTCTGGTCAGACTCCTGAGCTGTCTCTGCCTCAAGACAAATGTCTTTCCAGCAGAGGGCAGTGTGACAGTGGCACAGTATGTACCTTCCTTTGGGGTATTTGGTGATCCTGAGCAGCAAAGTGCCAGAGGGACCTCCCAGCCTTCCCTTTTCTTCACCGTTAACCCTCTGAACTACCTAACAGGCGCTCTCTGCCCTGCCCTCCCACCACCACTAGCCTGAGTCCCAGTATCTGGAGAAGCGTGGGCGACCCCTTCCCTGTCTGTCCCCTCAACTTTGCAGTTCCACAGAGCTGTGTGCTGGGACAGTCCAGCTGTGAATTCCATTGAGCTGGGAGAACAGCCCTGCTCCAGGAGTGGCACACCTTCCTCTGTTGGCTCTGTAGGGCTTGTAGCAAGGTATGGGCCAGTGCCTGGCTTGCTGACTTGGGGCCAACCCAGAAGGCCTGAGGTTTGGGGGCAGGGCTTCTTGGGGCTCCATCACTTCACTGGTTTCTATGACAACAGAATGTTAAGAGTTTATTGTCATGCTAAAAATACGGATAATTGCTGTTAGGTTTTAATTTGTCAGCTCTCAGACTTCTAAGCAGAGTGAAGGTTAGATTCCTGGGCTGCTCTTCACTCTGAAGTATTATGTACTTGAAGCTTGCTTGTGGGATCAAAGGCCACTGGGACCCAGAACTCCCTCTTGCAGGCTGCTTTCGCCTCACCTGCTGTTGCTGCTGTTTGCTTTGCTGCAGCCCCTCACCTCTTCACTGTCCTAGTTTGCACTCTGCACCTGGGGGCAGGGAAGGAAGATGCGGTATTTTTAGGTAGGAGCATCTGGCTCTGGCCCAGGCCCCCCAGAGTTATTGATTTGGCTGCTAATGTATCCGGAGAAGCACAGTGCTGACCGTTTCTGTTAGTCATCCTGAGGCTCTGAACCAGGCTGCCCCATGGCAGTCTTGAACTCCTCCAAACTATTAATAGCCACAGGCCTTCCCTCTGTGCCCTTTTTATTTTTAGTTTATTGGGGTGGGGGAGCTCCCAAGCAGTGCTCTAGGGACTTGGCCTCCCTTCCTGGTGATTCTTAGCCTGCCAGGCTGGCAGTGCAAAGGACCTGAGGATGTGCTGCTGGGATGGACCTGTGGTGTGGGGGATTATACTGGGGGCTCCAAGGGACCTTGAGAGCCAGCACCCAGTGGTCAGGGGGTTTATATGGTACAGGGGATTAAACCGGAGTCATCCTCGTACAAGATATGTGCTTGCTCCTGCACCGTCTCGCCACCCCTGCCGCCTTTAGATGATCTAAGACCTCTAGCTTTCCCCCATATAAGGTGTCTGCATCTGTTTCTGTGTGCCTCGCTGGCCTCCTGCTCTCATTCTTTTATGGGGGCTGGAGTACAGAGGAGGGGCAGTAAACACCCTCCAGGCTCAATTTGTTTTGGACATACACGTTTGTAGGGCTGTGCTCAGGCCACTGGTAACGGCGCACAGGGGACTCTGGTGGGGAGCCAGAATCAAACCCTACGATCCCACATGCAAAACATGTGCTCCAATCCTTTGAGCTGTCTCCCTGGCTCTCTGGTCCTTGTTTAGACGAAAGAAACCAGGTCAGAGGGGCTGGGGAGATAATACAGCAGGTTTGATTTCTGGTATATTGGTCCCCCGAGAACTGTCAGGAGTAATTACTGAGAGTAAAGCCAGGAGGAACTGCTGAGCATCTCATGGTAAGGCCTCAAAACAATAAACGGAAGACCTTGAACTTTTAGACCTGGTACTTAGGATGAAAGGAAATTGGGTACTTAAGATGAAAGGAAATTGGGGAGATGGCTAAAGGGCTGGGGTGTATGTTTTTGTCTGTAAGGCCTGGGTTCAGTGCGATTGCATGGTTTTCCAAGCACCTTAGCATCAGTGTGCCCCCCGCCCTCCAAAAAAGGGAAATGAGTTGAAAACTTAAAAAAGGGTCTGGGAGGGGCTGGATCGATAGCACAGCAGGTAGGGCGTTTGCCTTGCACGCGGCCAACCCAGGTTCAATTCCCAGCATCCCATATGGTCCCTCGAGCACCACCAGGAGTAATTCCTGAGTACAGAGCCAGGAGTAAACCCTGAGCATCGCAGGTGTGACCTAAAAAGAAAAAAAAAAGGGTCTGGGGATATGACGAGTGGTAAAAGGCATGTCTAGGTTTTATCCTCAGTACTTTCTCAGCTAAGGAATGAGTCTGGTAGGAATCCGGAAAAGGGGGGCAGAGAAAGAGTAGTTGGCCCACTTGCCTTGAGTGTGACTAACACTGGTCCAATCTCCAGACCACATGGTCCCCCTGAATACTGACAAGACCCTCAAATTCTGCTGCAGACCCACAGCAGCAGTGCATTTTTGGACCCTTTCCACTGAATCACTGGGAAGATTCCTCAAGCCTTCCTGAGCATGCTTGGGAGACCCAAAAACAACCAAGAAAACCGAAAATGATATTTGGGTGGTGAGAAGAGGCATCCTGTTCTAAAAAGTAAGGTAGGACATAGCATAATGATAGCAATATCTGAGCAGGATGTTAGGTGTTAGGCACTGTTCTGATCACGGTATCCTCACAGCAGTACTCTGAGGGAGACGTTTTATTTTTTTTACAAATGAAGAACCTATAAATTTTAAAGCGTTGGCCATAGTTCTCAGTTGACCCTAAAATTTTTCCACTTCTATGACTTGTATTCTCTTCCTGAAAATCCTATCCATTAGGACTCAAGCTCCATGGGGCTGGGGATGATAGTACAGTGGATAAGGTACTTGCATGTGGCCGATCTCTGGCATCCTATATAGTGCCTCAAGCACTGCCAGGAATGATCCCTGAGGGCAGAGCCAGAAGCCCTAAGCACAGCCAAAACAAAAGCAAAACAACTGTACTCAAGCTCCTAGTTGCAATAGACTTTGCTTTTCAGTTTTCTTTGTCCTATTGTAGCTCTTATCCTGCTTCTATAGGAAGCTGAAAGAACACAGGGGTTAAGGTTTTTTGCATTGCATACAGCCAACCTGCTTTCAGCTGCATCACGTGGTCCCCAAGGACCAGTAGATGTCTCCCAATTTCCCATCCCCGCTCCCGAAAATAAGGATAAATAAAGTTCTTTAAAACTCCTGTTACTAGATATTTATAACTCACGAGGCAGCCGTGAATATGTCTTTTTCATTATTGCTTTGCACACTGTACTCGCTGTCTGTCGAATTCATTCCTTCTCTGTTAGAAATTAGAACCAGGCTTTCCAAAGGCTGTCCCTTTTCTCAGCGGCCTCATCCATTTCTTATTCCTTCAAGACAGAAGGAAGCTTTACTCTTGGGTGTTACCATGGAGCCTGTGATGCTTTCTGTCTGAAGTGCTACTTGCCATCCATCAGAGACTGATGTTTCCATGACAACCAGGTGAAGTCAGTAGTCATCAGCTGAATGCAAGAAAGGAATTCTGGTCTGTAAAGCTGTGTATCTCGAGAGAGCTTCTGACTTCAAACATTCCTTCCTCCCAACTTCTGCTCCCTGTATCCAGGCTTGGTCTGCTTTCCAAGTGTGCTGTTGGTTGGTGAGATCTCTTTTGAAGTGTGAGGTGAAGCAGATTCACAAGCCTGGGTCATCTGGAAGATAGAGGAAGGAAAAGATCCGATCAATGATCAGTTTTAAAAGTTGATGAGTTCTTTTTGCTGTCCCAGATGATCTGCTCTCAAGAGCCCTAAGGAGTTGGCTGAAATTTCTCTATAACCATTAAGCAGTTATTTTTTAGGGCTAAGGGTAGATGGATGAGGTGCCTGAAGATTGGAAAAGAGCCAGTCAGTGCTGGATTGCAGAAAAGGGAAACAGTGACCTTGCTTGGAAATCAGACTTGTCAAACTTACCAATATTCCAGAAAGGATGGTGCTTCACAAAGGCTACTTATTTAGAGTGGGTGGCCCTGAGAATTGCCTTCCTGCGCCTGAGCCAGGGAATCTCCCTCCACCCTGTAGCAAAAGGGACACATTCTGGAATAACACTGCATGGCTTAGATTTTTCTTTTGTCAAAACAGTTGCGTGGTAGTGAGTAAGTGTGGGTGTTCCTCACTTCTCTACCTCAGACAATGGTACCTGTGCTAGAGCAATTATAAGGATTAAATGAAATCACACACACAGAGGGTTTGTAGAGATAAGGTTTAGAACTTCTCCCTACTGCTGTCTTTCTATTCCTCTGGTTGCCCACATATGTTCTTACTTGGCTTGATATTTGACTTCATTCTTTTTTTTTTGTGGGGTGGGGGGTGGAGGGTAGGGGAAAGGGGTACACCCAGAAGTTTTCTGGGCCTACTGGCTCAGTGTTCACAGATTTGCTTCCAGTGATGCTTACGGGACCATGTACTGCCAGGATCAAACCCAGGCCTCCTGCATGCAAATGCAAATGGAGCATGTGCTCCATTCCATTGACCCCTTTTTTTTTTCTTGAGGTGGGGGTGGGGGGGTGGATGAGAGCAGGGGAAGGTTGGGCTATACCTAGTTTTCAGGGTTTATTCTTGGCACTGTGCTCAGGGATCACTCCTGGCAGTGTTCAGCAGACCACGTTCATTGGTGGGGATCAAACCTGGGTTGGTTTCATGCAAGGCATGGCCCTTAACCCATCTCTATACTTATTCAGCCCCCATTGACCTCTTTCCTATCCCCAATTTAAAATTATGTGCAAGGTTCGTGGGGAAGAAGGGAGAGTAGGATAATGGTGAAGAT